CACCCATGATCCCCATGTCCAGGTGGGTCTTGAAAACCTCCAGAGCAGGAGAACCCCACAACCGCTCCGGGCAGCTGCTCCAGGCTCGGCCACCCTCCCGGCGCAGAACTTTCTCCTCCTGTTGAGACGGAACCTCCTGTAGACCCCACCAAGAGCTTCTGCCTGCTCTCACACCCCTGGAGAAGTTCTCAGGAGCAGCGTTGCTAACACCCCCCCCACCTCTCATTTCTCCACAGAACCTGATGGCCAGAGCCCTGTACGACAACGTCCCCGAGTGCGCGGAGGAGCTGGCCTTCCGCAAGGGGGACATCCTCACCGTCATCGAGCAGAACACGGAGGGGCTGGAGGGCTGGTGGCTCTGCTCCCTGCACGGCCGCCAGGGCATCGTGCCGGGCAACCGGGTGAAGCTCCTCATCGGCCCCGTGGGGCAGGATGCTCCCTCTGGCCAGGAGGGGTGCAGCTCAGGGTTGAGGCAGCAGTCCTTCAAGCAGCAGAAGGTCCCCCCGGCGCCCAGCTCGCACGCCTCCGCACGGGACCCTGTCTACCAGGTGCCACCTTCCCAGGGGATCTACCAAATACCCACCGGGCACGGCCTGCTGGGACAGGACGTTTACCAGGTGCCACCTTCCATGCAGAGATGTTTTGATGGCCCAGCTCTGACCAACAAGGTAGGGGAGCTTGTTTTCATGTCGTCGCTCCGAAGCGGGTCACTCCTCACCAGAGGAGTGGTTCGTGTCTAGAAATGCCTTGTACATATATTTATCCCTCCTGTATTTTAAGCCCACACCATTTAAAGCTGCAGCAGTGACTTTCCTGCTGTGGAAGGAGAAGAAAGGCCCCGTGCTCAACAGCTTAATTCACGACTGAGATACCTGGCAGAGCATTTTGGAGCTGTGCTACCACAGCTGCTGAATGAAGCTAAGGGCAAGTAGGTGATCTTGTGTCCTCCCAGGCAGGCTGAAGCTCATCTGGCCTGTGGCACTCCTGCATTGTGTGCCCAGAAAATGGCTGCTGCAGTCAGATTAACTCTCCCACAGATTAATGAGCAGTTAGTTACATCATCTGCCCAAGTCGTTTTTGTTTAATTAAAAATGGTGTGCTGCCTTTGCTGGAGGAGTCCCAGTGGGTCCAAACTACACAAAGAGCAAGCAATGATTGAGGAGAGAAGGGCCATGGGTGGCAGGGTGAGGGCACAACTTATTGCCAGTCCCTCCATGCCCAGCCCAACAGCTCCAGCTATTCCCATCCTCCTCAGCTTGAGAGTTTAAAGCACAGTATTTATATCCACGATATGTGAGCAGATGATGTCTCTGTCAGGAGCTTCCTGACCAATTTAAACTTTCATCTCCTAATTTAGATTGGCAGGACAGTCTGCTTTGGGTTTTTCCTCTGCCTCACCCCCAACTCAGCCTGTTTTAGATCAGGCCATTGGAAGACAGCTTCTAACACTTTTATTTCCTTGTTATAATTTCCCTTCATAAGAATAAATGTATTTTTTTTCCTTCTTCTTCTGAAGAAGAGAAAGATCTGTAGAGTCACCCCATCTCCTAATTTAGATTGGCAGGACAGTCTGCTTTGGGTTTTTCCTCTGCCTCACCCCCAACTCAGCCTTTTTTAGATCAGGCCATTGGAAGACAGCTTCTAACACTTTTATTTCCTTGTTATAATTTCCCTTCATAAGAACATATGTATTTTTTTTTCCTTCATCTGAGGAAGAGAAAGTTCTGTAATGTCACCCCAAGCCAAGTGATGCAGAGGTCAGTTTACTCAGCTTTTCAACCCTCATGCTCTGTAGGGTGTGCAAGATAAAATTAAGAGGATGGCATTTGCTGCACAGGTTGGAGCAGCTCTGTTGGAGCAGTTATATGGGTTTCCCTGGGAAATCTCACATCTTCTCTCTCCTTTTCTCCTTTCCCTATAGCCTAGATACAGGGAAAGCTTTTTGGGGGGCAGTCTAGTTTCTCTCTCCACTGTAGTGTTTAGATCCCCTCCAAGGTGGTTCATGAGCACCTATTGATGGGACACCACAGAACAGTTCCCATTTTAGTGTGTGTCACAGAATTATTTGGAATCCCAGCATGGTGGGGGTGGGAAGGGACCTCTGGAGAGCATCTTGTCCCACCCCCTGCTCCAGCAGCTCACCCACAGCAGGGTGCCCAGGGTTGTGTCCAGGCAGGTTTGGGATCTCTCCAGAGCAGGAGCTCTGGGCAGCTGCTCCAGGCTCTGCCACCCTCACACCAAAGGATTTTCTCCTCCTGTTCAGATAGAACCTGCTGGGTTCCAGTTTGTGCCCCTTATCCTGTTCTTGGGCACCACTGACAGGAGTCTGACCCCAGCCTCTTGGCCTCCACCCTTTAGTTATTGATCAGCATTGATCAGATCCCCTCTCAGTCACCCTTTTTACCTCCACAGCTGCACCTATCTGCTAATGCCTTTCTGAAAGAAAAGCCTAATGAAGGGGAAGCACTTTAGCTCTCCTCTCCTTTGAGGAACCAGCCTGTCCTCCAAATCCTCTTCCTCTGGGGAGCCATAAAAACCATCTGTAGCATTAAGGAAAGCTGGAGATCTTGAAGATTATTTTGGGAGTCTTTGCTTTCCCTTTCAAAATGAGGAATCTCTTTTCTCACATTGGTGACACCTCCCTGAAAGGCTTAAGGGGGCCACTCTCTGCCTCCTCCCAGCAGCACAGGCAGCAATTTGGGCAGTGTTAGGGACACTGAAAGGCTCTGCTCTAAGGCCATCCTATCTGTAAACCTTCTTCCTTCCCTCAGCAGTAGCTAGAGGAGACTGTGTCCTCTAGACACCATTCCAAAGAGGACCAGGAGCAGTTTTCTGTGCAGGTTTGCCTGTTTTCTCTGTGCAAAGCTGTGGTTTGGCTGCCATACAAGTTTTACAGGCACAGCTCAGGAGCTGCTGGCAGGCAGGAATTGTCTCGCCTGGAGCAACAGTAAACCCACAGCAGGCAGGTTAGAAAGCTGTGTGCTAACACAGCTCATTAGCCAGAAAGGTAAAGCAACTCAAAAAGGAGTCCTGAGGCAGGTAATTATCCTGATGAATTGATTTTGGCCCAGTGAGTTGTTGACAAGAGCTGTATCAGCTCCTTCCATCAAATAAAAACACCACCTCCGAAAACTCGCCCTGCGAGTGACAGAGGTAGAGAGGGATGGTTTAAAATTAGCCCTGGGTAGCCCCAAGCTTTTAGAGCTGGGCTGCAAGTTGAGTCATGAAACAGTTACACCTGGAAGTGTGAAGAGTATCTGAGGAGCATAAAGACACAAAAGCTGTACCTGAAAATTTATTCCTTCTTCTTTCTGTGCTCTGCCTTCCAACTCGCTCTTTTTTGGCTGCAGCCAGCAAAGGAAAGGAGCCTTCAAGAAGGAACTTTCAGAAGGAACCTGACATTCAGGAAACCTGAATGAAAAAGGGTTTATCCTTGCCCCAGGCTTTCTGCAGAGCCTCAAGTGGTGTGTTTTTTTTTGCACCTCAGCAATCTCATCTGCAAGATGTGTGAGGTAATTAAGAGGGAACTCATTCTGCACAGGCCTCTTTGAGAAGATCCTTTGGGAAAGGTGCTGTCAAAGCACAAAGCCTCTCCTGCTTCTGTGATTAACCATTAGTTCACACATGAGCTTTAAACTAGGGAAAGCTACACATAAAGAGCCACCACTATAATTCAAACACTCTTTTCTGGTTCAGCATCTCTCCTAATTGATCTGTTGCACTGTCTCTGCCAGCCTGAAAATAGCATTGACCATAAAAAAAGAAAAACCACATTGAAGGGAAACATTTCCTTGCTGGAAAACCATTTTGACAAATTCTGAAAGCTTTCTGTAGGAACCAGGAGAACTTTTCATGAAGGGAAACAGGCACTAAAAGTATGAGGCTGCAACCACAGAGGGTTGGATAAAACACAGCTAAAGGGAGCAGACCTTGCTCCCTGATCTTTAGTGACATTCCAGTCACATTGGTTGGATCCATGAGAAAGTGGAAACACCACCCCACAGGCAGCACCACCCTGACAGTTCTGGCAGCAGCAGAAGCCAGTCAGCCCCATTCTGACGTTTTTCCTTCCAATTTTCCTTCCTCCTTAGCTGGGAGGAAACAAAACAGCTGCCTGTAATGTTTATTCCAGAAATAAGCCTGTCTTTACTTTATTATCATGATTTTTCTTGCTTATTTTAGCATTTGTGAAGTAAGAAGAGCCTGCATAAAGCATAATAAAAGAGTTGTGGGGCAGATATATTTTGTCATCAAAAAGGAACAGGAGCACATGTAGTATTTTGTCATTTGTTGGCAAAATGTATTTACATTCCACAGTAGGATAACATCCCCAGTCTGAAATACCACAGATTCCTCTGCTATAGTTTACTCAAAGAGTCCAAACATTCATCTTATAGTCCCTCTTCTCTTTGGCTTTCACATCACACCTTCTGCTCTCACAAAAATTGGGCTTTGGTGTTAAAAGCGCTGA